GTTAATCCAACCATTGCTTTATCCATTCGAGACATTTCCCAKATTACGTGCAGCAATAAAATTATATTCACCTGAAAAAATAATCAACTTGAAGTGTGTAGGATTTGAATGAAATAAACTGGAAGAAATGGTCATTTAATATTACACTATCTTGAAAATCTGTTTGCTTCATTTTGAAAATTAATCTAATTCTTATTATATCATGATTGCAGTAAAAATTATTACTATAATTTGAAACACAGTACATTACCAAAGTTATTGCTAAGACAGGTCCAACAAATGTCCATGMCAGTTTATTTTTAAAAGAGAGCCAACAACTGCAGAAATAAAATAAATGCAATGAGCAACAAACAATAGATGATGCACAGTCATAATTAACCTGTGGACCTACGTATGAATAAAATAAAGAGGATTACGTATGAGTTAGTGGCATAATGAAACAGGCATAATTAATAGTCCATGAATTGTGAAACAAAAATGGAAAAATAACATTTTGTTTTAGTATCTGTCTTTTATGTCATTGAAGTTCTGATTGCCTTTTGTTTTATACACATTCTGGTTCAGTAGTCTTGATCCTCTTGCAACCGTCATTAAACGGTGCTAAAGAATTGGAAACAGGCCTCATAATGGTTGCAAGAAGAGACTACTCACTAGGTTCAGTGACACTTTTACTTACTAGTAAACACTAATACAACAAGTGCTTTAATTATTCCATGGTACAGTTGCATTTGCTAAACCAAACTAACTAAATGCTATACTTACAATTTAGTATGAACAAATCCCTGCAGTCCAACCTCAGTGGAAACTGATACTGAAATGGTGGCTACAACAATCACAAAAGGAAGGCCTGCAAAAAAGTTCAATATTCTCTAGCAATGGGCTACAATGTAACAACTGATCTTAAGTGAATATCTATAATTAAGTGCAAGGCCCTACACTGATAAAATGTCAAGATTTTGTATGAATAACAAATGCTACATGTATTTTATTTTATAAATTTTATTTTCAAAGTCGTACATACCCCAGGCAAAGGCATAGCTTGCTGGCATTCCATGCTCCACATTGAAAACTTTCACAATCCTTAAGTAGAGTTGAATACCTTCAATGAGCATCCAGCAAAATGCCACAAGATAAAAATACTGGATCAGAGCAGCAACACAGACACATCCTATCTGAAAAGGAAAAGAATTTCCATAAAATAAGTAAATAAATAAATAAATAAATAAAATAAATAATAAATAAATAAATCGACTTTATTTTACGAGGGTAACACGTGACAGTAAAGAACTGATGAACTTGTGGCCCTCACACTCACACTCACTACCTCTACATTAATTATTTTAGCACACAACACTTCTCACATGTTGATTTTTACTGAGGGAGGAAAACCGGAGGACCCGGAGAAAAACCCTCGTGGCAAGGGAGAGAACAACACATCAAACAAACTCAAACTCACATATGGTCCGTGCCCAGGAATCGAACCCGGACCACAGCGGTGAGAGGCCAGTTGCTTAACCACTAGACCAACCTTGCCACCCAATAAGGTGACTCACCTGTAGATCTTACTGATAATTAATTAGAAATTATCAGTAATGAATAATAAGTATAAATAACTAATATTATTACAAAATTTATCCATACCAGGTTCTCTGTTGCATTAATTCCTGCGATGAAGATAATTTGACCAATGGCAATGGATAAAACAAGGTTGATATGAATCTGACAGAGCTGAGCACGCACATTCCTGAAACAAAACAAAACTATCTGGTACTAAATATCTAAGATTACAGGCCCTCTTTCTTATGGTATCGTAAGTAATAAATTTGTGCTCCGACATCAAATAATTACAAAATGTGCTGAAAAGAGCATATTTTCAAAAAAACATAAATTATAAATAAATAAAAGTCATCATTTTTGCACAACCTTACTACCAATGCGACTGCTCAAATACACATTTTCTTGAAATTCACTCACTCACTCATTCACTCAGTCCACTCAATTTACTGTAAACTTGAGTTACATGTGATACAATAGCAGTATGATGATGCAATGGTACAATTGTTGCAATTATGATAYACTGACAGTATGTGCATTGTCATCTGTCGGACATATACTGGAGTACTTACACAAAAGCAAAGTGTAGTGCCAGGGTAAGAAAACACCCAATCAGTGATATTCCAATTCCAATGTATGTTATAACAGATAGAGCAGCCTGGTCTGATGATGAGACCTA